GAAACCCGCGCTCTCAGAGGTCTCGGCCTCAGGCTCGCCCCGGGGCGTGCGTTCCCGTCCCGGGTGTAAATAGGCTGGAGATGCCCAGGCGGACGGGGCTTGGGGACTGACCGCACCTGCGGCCTCACAGCCACCCCTCGATCAGCGTGTCTGTCCGTCCGCGGCCTCACCCGCTCCATGGTGGTCACTCCGGGCAGGGGCCCCCGCAGGCTCCCCACGGGCCGCCTCCTTCAACTGTGTCTGCATCTCAGAAGGGAGGACCAGGAGGCTCCACGAGGTCCGTTTGCCCAAGGCCACGTGGTGGTGAGCGCCGGCCCCGCCCAGACCCTCAAACCTTTCAGAAAGCCTCCCACCTGTGCGCTCACCCAGAGCAGGTGCTCCGTGAAGGGGCAGATGAGCACATCCCGCTCCGCCCGTCCTGCCTCAAATCACACCGTGTGCGCCCTCTCCGCCTCCTCCCCAGCTACCACCATCCCTCCCACCGGGATGGACAGAACCTGCCAGACCTCCATTCTCCCGGCCCCTGCCCACCCCCATTCAGTTTTCCCAGAGCTGCCAGGAAAACCTTTTTAAAAATTAACCACGCGAATATTTAGCCTTAAAAAGGAAGGACATTCTGACACGTGCTGCAACGTGGACAAACCTGGACGGTTACACTTACTTTTTTAAAAAGGAAGGACATTCTGACACGTGCTGCAACGTGGATAAACCTTGAGGATATTATGTTGAGTGAAATAGGACAGACACAGGGACAAACACTGGACGGTTACACTTTTTTCTTTTTTTTTTTGGTGCCGAGGTTACACTTACTCACAGGAGGAGTCAGACTCACAGAGACAGTGTAATGGGGTGACCCGCGGAGACAACCACCAGGGACTCAGATCAAAATTGAGGAGCTTTTATTAAGCTGGCCAGCGACTAGTTACAGCACCCTGCCGAAGCAGAGGCTGAACTGCAGTGCCCACTACAGGAGTTACATTTTATTATTAAATTCTGCGCAGGCCCAGAGAAAAATGTGTCTTTCAAATTCTGGGCCCCTGATATGGAGGAAACTCTCTTTATTTATACTTTTTCCAGTTTTTTGTCTCCCAAATTTGGGATGGGACTTCCGGGCCTTCTGAGAAAGAAGGCCCGCGTGCTGGGAAGGGGCCATGAGACCATATCTCAAGGCCTGGCAACTGTCTGGGTGTCAGCACTGACAACTCTGTCTGGGGCATAGTTTACGGCCTCTCTGGAATGGGAGTAGTCTTATTTTCCTTATTATTTAAGACAGAAGCCATACTATCAGGGTTAAAATTTTAAACAGCAGTTTTTATATAAGATGGATACTTCAACAGGAAGTAAAATAATGAGCCACCCGGGCTGGGGTGTTTGGGAACATGAAAAAGTTCTGGAGATGGTGGTGGTGATGGTTTTACAACAATGTGAATGTACTAAGTGCCACCGAATTGTCTAATTAAAATGGTAAATTTTATGTATTATTTTCCACGTAAGTCAATCAATCAGCCCCACTGGAGTGGCTCAGTGGTTGGGTGGAGACCTAGGAACAGGGAGGTCATGGTTCCATTGCCGGTCAGGGCACATGCCCGGGTTGTGGGGCTTGGCCCGTGTGAGGCGTGCAGGAGGCAGCCGATCAGTGATTCTCCCTCATCATTGATGTTTCTCTCTCTTTCCCTTCCTCTCTGAAATCAATAAAAAAATATATTTTTTAAAAATCAATCACATCATGCCACTTCGCAATTGACTGTAATGAAGGGCTATCCTTGCCAGGATGGTTTCCCCACTTTGCCCCAATTGTGTGACCTTGAGCAAGAAAATGTCTGTGCCTGACCTCGTCTATGAAACGGGCAGTGACTGCAACGAGCCTGGGGGACTGTGTGGTTTGCGTGAACACAAAGGGGTTTGATGCACGTGTATACCCCTGAGGGCTCGCTCTGTTAGGCCGCTACGGGCTGGCCGCCGCCTGGGGACCCTTCTCCGTCCACCTTTGCCTCCAACCCCTCTGCCTGGTGCAAGGCCGGCTCCTTCTCATCTTTCAGCTCAATGTCCCTGCTCATCCTTCAGGGTCTAGCTCGGCCAGGGACATCCTTGTTTTCTCTGCGTGTGGTCGCACTAGGACCCAAGTTTTGCGGAAGCAGGCTGGGTCTATTCCCTCCCAGGCCGCTGGGTCTATTCCCTCCCAGGCCGCTGGGTCTAGTCCCTCCCAGGCCGCTGCAGGGTCCGACATGGAGCAGTGAGTGGGTGACACATGCTGATGTCCGCGTGCACACGGAGGTCAGAGTTGAGCCGACACAGTCAGGGCAGCGCAGAGGAGCAGCCACTGGGCCCAGACGGCTGGGCTCCGCGACATCAGTGCGACGAGCGGCTCGCCCGCCTCACTGGGTCAGGAGGGTCTAGTCCCTCCCAGGCCGCTGCAGGGTCCGACATGGAGCAGTGAGTGGGTGACACATGCTGATGTCCGCGTGCACACGGAGGTCAGAGTTGAGCCGACACAGTCAGGGCAGCGCAGAGGAGCAGCCACTGGGCCCAGACGGCTGGGCTCCGCGACATCAGTGCGACGAGCGGCTCGCCCGCCTCACTGGGTCAGGAGGGCCAGGGCTCGAGCCCACCGGACGTGAGGC